CCACAGATAAGCGAGATGCATATTTTTTAAATGTATATACCCCTCCTGAGTTGCCTTGACGAAGGGAGTCCAACATGTCATAAATGAGGTCATTGAGTGTCACATCAAGAACAATGCAGGAAGATATTCAGAGGTTACTTTCAGGTCAACATGAGATTTCTCGTCAGATGTCCAGACAGAAGAGATGAACCCCAACTTTGTAGTGGGCCCGAGGAGCTTGATGGGGATGACAATTCTGCAATAGGATCCGGGTCCTATCTGTGTGGAGGAGGTCTCTCTTGAAAGGGTACCAGTGAGAGTGGCGCAGCTTGCCACAGATTTCATCCCAGAGTTGAGTTCTCCTCACATACTTATTACTCAACCACTGCACGCTAGGCATGAGAAGTGGAATGAGAACATTTCAAATGTAAGGGTTCTAGAGTTATATTGCGGGAACCCATCTCTATATGCAGCTCTCACTCAGGATGTACCAAAAGAGGATGACTATTTATTATGCCAGAAAGTGTTGTGGAATGACTACACCGACATGATCGACCTACCAGAGGACTTACCGCCATACCATGAGGATCCAAAAGCTTTGACGAATGAGGTCGAAACTCGAACCTTGAGAGAACGATATGGGGGTTTTCTTCCAAAAGCTGAATTGGTTTGGCCCAAACCGGTTCAACTGAGAGGGAGGGGGGGGGGGGGGCGGGGGTGACCGGTCTGGACTGACCCCATCTTCCCTTCTCATTTGGCAGGAAATTTCCTCCATTTTCTGTTTTGGTTTCCCTCCTATGTATGTGTTTGTGCTGTTTAGGTTTTCAGTTTTATGTTATTTTTTATTTTAGATTTGTAAAGACAGCCGCAAACATCCTATTTTCCCCTCGAGGGCTGTATTTGATTGTTAGGGCGTTGCTCTAGTTGTATCCATCTCCCCGGTTGTGATTATCTACTCCCGACCCTGTTCCAGGACTCCTCGAACTACCAGTTTCCTTCTGCTTGCCGCTGGAAAGTTGCAGCTTGCTTCCTAACCATCATTTCTATAACAGGCCAACAACCTTCTCGTAACCCTCCCGTCGCCAGCACCTGCATCTTCCTGCTGTCCCTACAGTTCAACCGTCCCTTCACCTACGCTGCTCATGTTGTTTTCCTCTCGCTAATCCCCTCTCCCACTGGCCTATTGTGCCGCTAACACCCTCAACCCATCAACCGGCTCCTTCCCTCCCGTGATTGCCAACAAGCTCCACCATAGTGCCTTCCAACCTTCTGAGATCTGACGTCAACTCCTCCAACCATAATAGCCAACCCCTCAATACTTGCTTCCGCTTTCCAAGGCTGCCAGAACACTCTTCTAACCCTCTCTTGCCCTCACAACCGCCTCAAATCTGACTCCTACCTACTGCTAGCCGCAACCACGATCTCTTGTCCTCACCTTAGAGTGTCTTTCGCGTTTATTGGCCGTTTATTTCCTGTTTTGGCGAGTCTTGTTGTAAGCTTTGAAATTCATCAATAATATTTCATTTTCTATTGTGTTTTGGGTTTCCTCCTTCGGTATTATTTGGTATCAGAGCTAGCCCAACCTTAGTCCCATCCTAGGGTTCCCTAGCGTCCGCCTTACCCCCCAATCGAAAAATTTTCTTTCCTATCCCGAACCACCAATTCCAAAACCAAACCCTAAATCTCTTTGATAAATTTCAAAATCAGCAATCCAAAATCAAATTTTATACACCTTCAATTTGTCTCTTGCACCATCTTTCATCCCCCAACTCTAAACCTTAGCCATGCCAATAACGAGATACATGCCCGAGTCTACCTGGGAGGAGATACGACAAGAGATCCGCCGACTTCGGCTGTGAATTAGAAACATTGAAGATGAAATCCAATGAGAGGCTACCCTCGACCGTGATCCGAAAGGTCGAAGTGGGGAATGAGAAGATATAAAGATTAAGCGGGAAACACAACGTCAGTTCTTACCAACTTACTACCGCTTAAATTTACAGACTCTAGTTTTCGACGTGGAGAGGCTGCAACATCAACCGTCCCCTGACTACTATCTAGTGAAACCAATCCGCAAGTTTGTCACGGCTCAAAAATGTGGCAAGTGTCACAGATTCTGACATGTTGAGGCAAAATGCACAACTAGAACAGTGATCTACTTCACCGAGCAGGACGTCATTAAAAAGTTGGGTAAAGTCACCACAGACACTGAAGACGGTAAGGACATAAACGGGGAGTACCAACTTTCGGTTGAAGAGATGAATATTAATATGAAAGAAGATGAAGAATTATGAGAGGATTCTCCACTTGCAGTTAGCGAAGAAGAGACGCCACCGAATCCAATTGACCCCGGGATAGGGATTCTAACAGAGGTAACAATCGATGTTCTAGAAGATAGTGACTCTGAGTTAATGGCAACCCAATAGAGCATGAGATTATGATGCCTCGAGCTAGTATCCTGCAGACGGTGGGAGGAACATCAACAGGAATGGCCTAGGATGTCTACAAGGGTTGTGTTTGATGAGCCGACATCTGATACAAGTCCACCTCAAATAAGCGAGATGTACATTTTTTCAGATGTATAGACCCCTTCTTGAGTTGCCTCGACGGAGGGAGGTCTAACATGTCAGAAATGAGGTTATTGTGTATCATGTCGAGAACATTACATGAAGATATCCAGAGGTTACTTTCATGTCAGCATGCGACACCTTGTCAGATGTCCAGACGAATGAGATAAACGCCACATTTGTAATGGTCTCGAGGAGCTTGATGCAGACAAATTCTGCAATGGGATCCAGGCTTTATCTGTGGGGAGAAGGTCTCTCTTGAGAGGGTGCCGGTGAGAGTGGCGCAGCTTACCACAAATTTCATCTTAGAATTGAGTTATCCTCACATACTTATTATTCAACCACGGCACGCTAGAGACGAGAAGTGGAAGGAGAATATTCAAATGTAAGGGCTTGAGAGTTGCATTGCGGGAAACCACATTTATATGCAACTCTCGCTCAGGATGTGCCAAAAGAGGATGACTACCTGTTCTACCAGAATGTGTTTTGGAATGACTACATTGACATGATCGATCTACTAAAGGACTTACCGCCGTATCATGAGGATCCAAAAACTTCGACTAATGAGGTCAAAGTTCTCCCAACCTTGGGAGAATGACCCGGGAGTTTTCCTCCAAAAGCTGAACCTATTTGGCCCAAATCGGTTCAATTGAGAGAGGGGGGCTGAACTGGCGCCGTCCTTTTCATTTGGCAAGAAGTTTCCTCCTCTTTCTGTTTTCGTTTCCCGCCTATCTATCTCCTATTTATATGTGTGTTTGCTATCTAAGTTTTTAATTTTATGTTTTTTTTATTTCAAATTTGTAATGAAAACTGCCGACGTCTTGTTTTTTTCTCAGGGGCTGTACCCGACGGTTAGCGTGGTGCTCCGCTGTATTCCTCTTCCCGGTGGTGATTATTTACCCTTCATCCCCTTCCAACCCAACTACCAGCTTCCCTTTGTTAGCCGCGGGAAGGTTGCAGCTTGCTTCCCAGCCATCATTCCTTTAATAGGCCAACAACCTTCTCGTAATCGTCCCCCTCACTGGCACTTGCACCTTCTTCCTGACCCTACAGTCCAGCTGCTCCTTTAACTACATCGCTCATGCTGTTTTCCTCCCACTAATCCCTTCTTCCATTGGCCTATTGTGTCACTAACACCCTCAGCCCACCACCCTGCTCCTTCTCACCCATGACCCTCACAACCACATCCACTCCGACTTCTATCTGCTGCCAGCCGCAGCTACCACCTCTCATCCTCACCTTAGGGTATCTTTTGCGTTTATTGGTCATTTATTCCTGTTTTGACGAGTTGTAATCTTTGAAATTTCACATTAATATTTCCGTTTCTATTGTGCTTTGGGCTTCCTCCTCTGGTATCACCTCCTTGCTTTTTTTCTTTTTGTCATCGATTGCTGGAATTTTTAGTTGAAGAGGGAAATGGAGAAGGGATGATGAGAAAAGGATTGGGCCAACAGAGATCGGAGCGAAATGTTATAGTGTGGGCAAAACTTAGGGAGAGATAGATGAGAGATAGATGAAACTAAATAAGTATGTGGCGAGATGGGCTTTGAATTTCTTTTTTTGATTCTTTTATTTTTCTTTTGACATAATGACAAAAGAGACGGGACTTCCGGTTAGAAAGGGCGATGCTGCATGATATAGGGTTGGGATCTAGCTGGATTCAAATAGGATTGGATTGGCTATGATGCTTGCAAAGAGATTTCCATAGGTATATTTTTTTAGGTAGTCTTGATATTCAAATGCTTTGGCTCAAATCTCTTCACAAGGCAGGTTATGATTAGACTAATTTTGATTTGGCAATTTATTTTGAGCCCGACTTGTGTGATGCCGTATCTGTTTGCCATTGTTTTTATTATCTTAATTTCATTTAGTTTGTTTCTATCATTGCTTGAGTGGTGGAGCAAAAACTAAATGAAGAAATTGAAGTAGACCTATAACAATGATAATTTATCTTTTCTTCTATTTGAGTTTGTTTGGTTGTAGGTAATGTTTAACAAATATGATTGGGCGTTGGCTAGAATTTGTTTTGTTTGTCACTGTGCAGTTAAGTATAGCTAGAAATTAAACGACGTTTTGGACTCTGTTATTAAATTATTGCTGATTTCCATTGGTTTTCATTCAAATTCTTTTGCCCTTCATTCATGCAACCACTTGTGCTTGTTTTCTGGAAAATGTTTATCCAAAGTACAACATACAAGTATATTTACTTGGCCAATTCGACTAGGAAGGCAGTGAAATGGATAGCTTTGTTACCATCTATTTTCTATAGTCATACACATTTCATCCTTGTTAAATCATACCAAATTATCCAAAAAAAACCAATGAAATGGGAGTCCTTTTTGTAGCTAACCAGATGCCCCTATTAGTTGTTTTTATTATTTGGCTGCAAAGCTTATTTCTTAAAATTTTTTTGTTGGTAAATGATTCACATTTCTGGCTACCTCTGCATAATAGGAGCTTAATGGGAACCCTATCTGTGGGATAAAGCAGAAGCTGCATAGCCATTGGAAGAACTTGGAAGGTATTTTCAATTCTGATGATTCATGCTCATCCAAGAGGAGGTTCTTCTTTTCACTCTGTGAGTACTCTTTAATTTTTTGCTAATGTCTGTGTTGTTATACAAACGTGTCATTTTGAGCTATGAATACATTAAATTGCTGTTTTGTTAGTTGGTTGAATGGGATCTGGAAAGTCCTTATGAACTTCAAAATGCTTCAGTTTGGTCATCCAATTTTTGTTGGGATGAATTATGCAGGCTTGGATGATTCAACATGAGATAATGTAATACCTGTTATGCATAAAATCTTTCATATGCGGTATTTGTGTTATATCATTCATATCTTTTATCTTTGACACTCCTTATTATATCTGCATTCTTTGCGATACAATTAGCTCCCAATTGTTTTCTTCTTCCTAGTCGAAATGTTTAAGAACCATTTTCTAACCTTTAATTAAATTGGACCATTTAAGAGTTTCACATGATAATGTTTACTGTCTGATGCCTTATTCGTTTATATTCAAAATTTCACAATCTAGTTAAGATGGTGCTGTCATAATCCATCCACTTGGTTTGGAAAATTTCGGCAGTATTGTAATGTGAGTTTATAAATCTATAGTTAATCCAGTGAGTATAACATTTCTAGATTAACATTTCTTATTAGTTTTAGAATTAGGGCATCAAAGTCCAATGACATGCACAATTTTTCTATCAGGATAGAAATAAAATTTTGCTATCATAGTAATTATTTTATGAAGATTCTTGGTATTATTTGCATCAGTTCATTAACTATATGACCTAATCACATTTAAAAGCATTAGAAACAAAATTTATGAACTCTTTATTCAAAATTGCCCAATTAGTAACTTGAAATCACAAAACTTGACAAGTGTGAATTTGTAAGAGCAAACTTAGACGCCAAGCATAATTGACAAGGAGTGGAGAATATCATGATTAACGAGTACTTTTTATATCACAATTATTACTATTGCATGAACTAGAACAACTTCATAATGTAGCAAGAACCACTAGAGGTAACAGCTATGAAACATTGGTAATCATTTAGTAGAGTCCATGATAAATAAAATTTGAACATGACAGTCAATGCAATTGAATGTTATAATAATAATAAATAACCGCAATGAATTTATGTATGAAGGAATATTTATGGGATGCTTCATCAACACTATTTATACTTCATTCTAGTCTCACATTATCCTAAATCTATAGGAAGGTTATCAATCTGATGGAACTCTTTGAACTTTTTGGAAACAGTCATTATTTTGAGTATCAAGCCTGTCTGGCCAAGCTTGCCAAACAATATATTTACAGTATTATGCTACAACAAGATACTACCAATATCTTCGTTTATTGTTCACCGCTTAAAAAGTGACAACAAATAGATTCAATTCCGCTGATACCGGAATTGGTATGGAAACAAGGTGAGGAGAAACATCACACAATCACTAGTAATTTTATAAAGTCAAAATTTAAAAATACAATAAACTTAAAGCAAATAACAATGGAAAAAACCAGGGAATAGGGTGTATGTGGTGCCGGTTAGGATTTGGACCTCCGAGGTGGTGACAACAAGGGGGCAAGCAGGTATAGCCATGGGAAGACTATTTTGGGTGGAGACATGAAGGAGGAAGGGACAATACCACAACAACTATCCCTTGGTTGCGACAATAGGCTCTTAGTTTATTTTGTGTTACACGACACATATTTCAAATACTTAATTATTTGAATAATCAAATACAACATCAAAAGTACTATACTATCTTAAAAGATAAACATATTACTTTACAATGAATTCAATTATTCAAATAAATAATTTTTAACATTTGATGAGTCTGCGTTTAAATCAACAAATCTTTCCCCTACATAACAAGAATGTTAGATAGGGTTGGATTAATCTGGATTACTAAATTCTTCTAAGGGCAAACCTCAATAGTTAATTATATTTTAAGAAACAAAAAAAATTTTGAGAAATTTTTTATTAAGGATGGGGTTATATTTTCAAGAATTTTGAAGTTCAGGTTTTCATGATTGTTTATTTGAAATTTCAAAAGAGAAAAATCAAAGTGGAATAGTTCTTTCAGAACCCAAACAAGGAAATGTAGGAATTGTCGAGTTATTGAGAAGTTCAGTAACATTTCAACTATCTTGTTATTTGGCTTTATTGATTTGAAGTTGAAAAGTTTTTTTTTATATTCAAGTTGACATATTATTAGAATGTTAGGACTTATATCTCATTATATCCGATCGTCAGACAGTTTAGGAAGTGAGGACTTATGTTGTAGCTAGATAAACAATTACAAAAATTCTTAGACTAAAGGTGATGTCTATGAATAGAACCTCAAAACTTAGTCTAACGAGAAAAATGCGACAAACAAAGACTTATAACACGATCCCACAGAGGACAGAGCAAGCCAACATGATCGAACTTACAACCCTGCCTGGATAGAGCCATCTAAACCCATATAAGGTAGTAAAATCATGCATGATCTATCTCATGAAATGTAAGATAGGATAGATTATTATTTATTAAGAGAAGTAAGTCTTACAACTTTTTTATAAAATCAAAATGTCTATTGTATGACATGTATGTAATGTCCTAAGACTAATGTAAAAATATTCTTTTATAATTTCTAACTTTTAAATTTTTTATGCTCACCACACTCATATTATTATTTTTTGGTTAACTTTCAGTGTCGAGTAAGAAAACAGACTGTGTATGAGTATGCAGTCTTTGATGAATGTTTAGAAGATTAATTTATAGGTGAAGTGGCATGTAAAGATAGACTCGCTCTATAAGATGGTGATATTCAAATAATAAATTGTCCCTTTTTGTGCAATGAGAGTCTGAAGACAAAGAATATAATCAATATGTATACATATGCCTAAAAGTAAACTTTTCGTGGTTATTCCTAAATTGAAGTGCTTTTTAGTCATTTTTATTTTATTTTATTTTGTTATTTAAATACAATGATGTTTTTAAGGTGTGAATGCAATATATTATATAATATCGTTATTTTGGTTATGAATTTATGATTTTTTTTAAAAGTTAAATTTGAATTTTTTAAATTGGAGTAGAAAAATTAGTCCTTGAAAGAGTCTATTGAAAGAATCTGTCCTATAAAGCGGACATCTCCAATAAACCTAGAAAAATAGACAAAAAGTTAAGTGATCACAAGAAAAAATAACAACATAATCACAGAGCAAAATAACAATAAAGAAAATATAGTAACCAATCTTAGGCCTATGACAGACTCGTCAATCAACAATGACATATAGATATCCTTGGCTGTACTTTAAAATTTTGCTGTTTATCCTCATTGTTTATCCTTTGTTGTTCATCCTTTGGATAATCCATATGTTTATAATTGATCAACTAACTAAGACAGACACCCTAACTCTAAACTGGCTCAATAGAAAAATAAACCTATGTTTACTACAACAACTTAACTAAAATGAGCTCCAAAACAAAGTTAGCACATTCTAAACCTAGTATAACCTCTGCAACACAAAGTTAACAAATCATAACATGTAAAATAAATTCACAATGTATAAAGAAAAGACTATTTACTCGACCTAACATTCAATCTAACAGAGAAACCCGTCCTAATATAATTGATCTAATGATCAAACGAGGCAAAACTCAAAAGACATCAATCCAATCTCGCACTAACCTAATCCTAAAATTAGGGTTAGTCTCCTAACACAATGTTAAATGTGTGTGCAAAAGATAAGGGAAACCAAAATTAGACATTTTGTTCAAGTTCTAATGTTTTAATGTCCAAATTTATCGAAAAGAATATTTATTTAAAGTTTTTAATAATTTAAATGATTTCTTATGATTTTTATTGATTTTTTTATGAATTTTTATTATTTTATTTGAATTTGTTATAATATTAATTAAATATCACACAGGCATAAAAAACATATATACATATTCAATCAATATTAAAGTTTTATTAAATGATACAAACCACTTAGAAAAATAGTTAGAGATCTTATAAAATAAGAAATATGAAATTTAGAGAATTTTAAATATTTTATGAATTTTTTGATTTTTAAAAAGGTATATATATTTTGACTTAAATGTTTTCAAAATTTATTGAAATTATTTATGGAATTTAATATTAACATCAAACATGTTTTGTGAAAGTTATGTAAATTTTTGAATTTTTATTTATTATTAGTATTATTTGAAATTTAAAAGTATTTTTCAATTAGAAAATCATAATAAATTCAAATAATCTCCAAATTTCTTGAAATTTTACAAGATGCTTAAAATAAAATTCTAAATAATCCCTTAAAATTCTAAGTTATTTTAAGTTCAATTGAATTTTCTATAAATTATTGATGTTAAAAATTTAAATTAATGGACTGCCCTTTGAGTGGGCTAAAATTTTTTTTATTTACTATTCAACTATAAGGTTGATGTCATTCTGTTAAAATGCACTTGGCATTGAATCTTTCTTTAAGTGTTGGCTATCTCTACTTACGACGGTGTTATCCTTTTTATCATCAATGATCTGAACAATCTCCTGCTGATTAACTTCTGCTGGTTGTACTTGAGGTGACAATTAAACTATGGAAGGTGATTAGGGCTATCATCATCTCTTTCATCTTTTTCTCCAAACGACTGATCCCCTCATCTTTCTACTTTAGCAAACACTGCATGTTTTTTGTTTGTTTTTCTTCTTCATTTGTAGGCGGTAATCCTCACAAAGATGAGGAGACATGAGTTTCAACAACATTGATTGTTGCGTACTTCTCTTCCATCCAATCCTCTAAATCTTCATGTTCACTCATCAGGTCTTTCTTTTTGTCAATAGCTTGTTCTCTTTCTAGCTGTTTAATTTCTACTCTTAGATTTTCAGGAGCTTCTATTGAATGCCCTTTGACAATCTTCATATAAATTAGAACAAATTCTTGGGCAATATCCATCGCAATAACCTCGGACTTAGTGCTCTCAATTTGCGTAACTTCTGCTTTGTCTTTCGTTTGAACTTCTCAGATTTATCCTTCTCAAGTGATTTAGCAATGACCTTGGGTATCCCTACCTATTTCCTAAACGATGACACTGTGCAAGCTGAGTTTTTCACGACAGTATCATTATGCATGGATAGGGTACATTCCCCAATACCCGAACTAGTTAATCTTCTAGATGATCTTTTGCCATCATCTAGTCTCTTGGTACAATGAAACAACTTAGCATGAGGTGAAATGGGCAGCAAACTTGGCCTCTAACGTAACTTCACAGAAATCCATGAGGTTGGACCATGTGCGACAGCAACGACAGGCAGCCAAATCTCTAAATGCAACTTCCCCAAAAACGTTTGGGGGTGGTTAATCCTTCCTTCTTCATACTTTTAAATTTTAGCTTTGTACGCCTATGATCTTGTTTCTTCCTTTGGAGAATCTTTATTTCATCATGGGATATTGCACTTCCCATTCTTCTTAGGATTTTAGCCACGAAACACTTTCTTTCATGGCTAGCTTCTTGAACATAGAACAAACTCTGGCAAATGGCGAGTTCTTCTTCTTCCCATGGGTGCGGTCATATTCAAATGGTTGCAGCAGTGCAGCAGCAATCCTCCGGACATTCTCTTCTTTATAAGCATCAAATAATGGGTGAAACCTACCTCCCAAAACAGAAAAGGTTTCAGGATGTAAAAAGCCCTCTTCACAATACATCTTCTTTAGCTCATCAACAATCTCTTTAGCATTCACTTTTTTCACCTTTGGTGCTTTTCTGTTTCTATTCCCCCTTTGAGTTTAAGGCACAGACCTCGCGGTTGACCTAACTTCAAAAGTCGACAGATGAACTCATTGTCCATTAAATTGACATCTTTGTCCACAACGATTGACTTCACCTTCAGAATTTCAGGCCCTTGTGGTGCCTTAGAAACAACTTTCTTTAACCCAAGTAGCTTTCCTACTGATCCATTTGATAGTGTCGGAAATTTCTTCTTAGATCTGAAATTGAATTCCAAGATTGGCTTCTTGTCTTCACAACAGTAAAGGCCAGGTTGCCACAAGCCATCTGTAGATCCTGAAAACCAATCTCAAAGGAGAAAATAAACTTAGAATGAAACTTAAGAGATATCAGGTTTTATCATTTACTAGCATCGACAGATATGAAACTTCTATCCCCAATAAACATTCCACATAGAATAAGAATCATAGCTGATCTGAACCCAATCTCTAATATTACTTTGATGTAATTCACTTTAGAGTTACGGTGTACAAGTTTATTGCTATTGGCAACGCTTTTTGGTTGTCTTACAAAACTTAAGAGATATAATGAGTATATAATTATGTTGGTGTGCGTGATGATGTGATCATCAATAGCATTCTTTTGATGGATTACCGCTGGCTAGCTTGGTTGATGGATCTGGTATTAGTAGTGTACAGTTTTGAGTTCTAGCGGAAGATGTATATGAATACTGATAGTATATATTTCTTGTTGTATGATACTCTTGTCAACTCATGCATATACAATTTTTTAGGGTATTTACATCCATACCACCCAATTCCTATGTATTTACATATTTGGCTCATAACTTTGATTTTTACAACTATACCACCTAAACCTTCATTATCACATTAAAAATATCACCATTTTAACTTCCAAAAAGTGATACACATTTTCATGTATTTTTAAGGTGTCATGTATGTAAAAATTGTTGTTTAGGTGTTAGATATGTAAATACATAATAATTTAGTGGTATGTATGTATATCTTCCAATTTTAAGTGGATATGATTGTTGTTAATGCCCTTTTAATTTTTATAATGTTGGCTAACTTTGTTAACATGCTTGCTAAGGATGATTACACTTTTGAGATGGGTCAGGATTGTGACGACCTTCCTTTATTAGGTTTAGGATAATGTTACTAAAGTGATTGATGGGGTGATGTATAATGTTACTAACGGAATCTCTTGAGATATTCTAACACCATTTTAGGGCTCCTAGAACGTGTTTAGGAAGTGGTGTTAGTGGGGAGATGGTTGTGGAATAGTGAGAGGATAAGAATATAGGAGTTTGATGGGGTTTGAAAATGACAGGGGCCGTTCAATGGCTGTCCAGATTAAAAACAATAGTCAAATGACGAAATGACAAGGTGGGGACGAGGAGGATCCACCACCTGATCCTAAGCAAGATTTCGACTCGCCAGTTGCAAAAGAAAGAAGTTACAATGCTTCGAATAGCAGAAAAAAGAGAACAAAGTCTCCAAAACATAAATCAATAGCTAAAAATTCCCATGCTGGAAGGGATTTGCAGAGTGATCAAACTAGATGATATGCTGATTCTGCTTCTCTTAGTCATCATCATCAGACTGATATACATGATCATATGGATTAGACATCATTGTTTCGATGACAACCAAGCTTGAAAGCTCAGTCACTATATTCCGACGTTGTTATGAGACAAATTGAATATCTTACAATAAGAACATCACCCATTGATCCTGGTTCTCAAGAAATTGATGATATGTGGATTGAGATGCTTCAAAATTGGAGCTAGAAACCCCTTGATCTAATTTCAACAGTGATAATGTTAGAAGATGCTTGGATCACTGAACTTGACCTACATGGTGATTAGAGCAACTCCATCATTTTCAATGTCTCCGAGATAGCTACTCATTACAAATTAAATTATGAGATTTCTCAATATGAGAGAACCTTCTCTATCCCAAGATAATGAAGTGGAAGCTAGAGTTTTATTTCAATTTGTCTTGGATTATGTGTTTTAGTTTGTTATTTTTGTCTTTATGTTTTATGATGACATACTTATAATTAGGAGAGTCTAGTCTTTATAAACAGGGGTTTATTTGTGTGGACTGAGAATAGGTAGTCTTGTGTTTGTTTTCTCTTGGGAGGTTTTTATCCATCCAATCCTTGCCCTACAATTGTATCTAGGATTGGTGCCGTGGATGTTTGAAATGCAGGGAGTAATCCTTGAAGGGGACGATGAAGCTGCTATTAATTATTTCCTGACTTACATGGGAGATAGCGCTCGAAGACGATTGCTTATGGATAGACACACCTTCTCGTTTCTTTTTTACTTTAAACAGATCAATTTTCATTTTGTACACGGGGAATGTAATAAACTCGACGTGCTCTGGATAGTTCTTTCTTTAGGGAGGATCACACTTGTGACTCCGATTTTTTGAGTGTGGTGGAGGAAGATACCGCCATGCTGTTTCTTTTGTGTAGCTTTATAGATCCCCTTTGTACCTTTTTGATTTTATTTTAATGCAAAAATGCACACCTTTCAAGGATTGACACACAGATGGTCTTTATCCATTATCTTGTTTATCGTGTTATTCACTTTTTTCCAAGTTCTTTCCACCATTCTTGTTGAAATCTGTAACCATCTCCTTTGGCCGGTATCACTAACATATAAAATTAGGAATAATAATTATAATGACCCATGGATTGATGAATTGGCAGAATAATAATAATAATAATAGAATAATTGAAGTAGTCTATGAACTGATGAGTAGCTGGTAGGGATCCCACGGATTAATGAGGTCACGTGGAAGAGGAAGGTCGAGCGCAAAAGTCTTGGTGAGTGTAGCTTCCAGCTGATGAAAATTATGCAGGCATTTTATACACAAACCTATTGATTTTTGTGGTTTCAGGTTTCTAGGTTTGTGAACCTTGTGGAAAGGGTTGCTAGATTTATGCTTCTTATGCTTGGGAATGTGATTAAGGTTATATGGTTATGATTTTGTTTGATAGTAAGTTATATTATTTTTGTATGCATTTCTATATTATTTGATTTTTATTTATCTTGATGAATAAATTGTATTTAGCATTTAGATTCTTTTATTTTTATTTTATTCTTGAAATACTTTTTTGTAATTAGTATTTATTGGATTAACTATATAACGGAAGGTTAATTTTCAATTATCAAGCTGAAGTTCGGTTAGCATGCTTCTAATTGGATTGATAAATGGATCTTCAAAAGGAAAGCTTGAATATAATTGAATTTTCTTTATTAGTTAATTTTATGTTGATACTGGTATGTCTGCAACTTTTCTTGGCAGTTATCATTCTTAGAACATCCTAATCTAGTCGCATGTTTCTCTTGTGTGTTTTTTTTATACGTAATCACAAAGATGACCTATGAAATCACAAGATATACATTGATTCATGTTGTACGTTATTACAGGCAGTACATATCGTGACATATTGCATTGTGACAAGAGACCATTTTATTTGAAAAGCAAGGAAGATGATTCAAGTATCATGGATGCATATATCATGCATGCGGTATGCACTGCTTTAGTTTTAACAATCTTTGAGATTAATTTTTGAAGTCTGTTAACTAATGTAGCTTGATCTTTCAATTAGTTAAATCATGTACATATGATTCGAGAAGATGTGTTGAAAAATGATGCTAAACTCAATAAAGATGAAAATTGTAAATGGGAAGAGATTCATTGTGGTGATGTCTACCTTGATCAAGGTTTTACTCGTCCCAAGGTTCGTGTTGATCCATTTTTTCTCTTATTTTCTATTTTTGTAGGTAACATGCATGAGTAGGATATTTAGATTTGACTCCTTTGTACTTGCAAAACTAAAAATTTACTTATTCCCACCTTAAAAAACGAAAACCCTCAGCCTTTCAAAGCTTCCACCATGGTTAAAAACAGTTGAATGCTATGGCATATTTTTTGGCTTTCCTAAACTTCATCTAATTAAGCGATACTGTTGAACTTGCTTATTTCTCATCAAGACGGTAGGTTCTACTTGCAGCCCCTTGCTAAGATCCTGCAGCTGTCTGTGCCATCATTATACAGTTTTTTGTAGGGCCTGCATCAATCTTGCTGGTCTACACTGACTGCACAACCATGATCATGATGGATATAATAAGATGAATATTGATGTTGTGTTTGGCATATATGATTTGGATGTTATGATGATAATGAAAGAATTGTTTTGGCTTCAGGTGAGAAAGTTATGTAGGCAACTCTTTCATACTTGTGGTCTTGTTTGGTATGTTATAAAACATTTAATAATCTGATGTTGCAAAACTCCTTGTTTGTTTAATACATTGATATTGTTCATAAAGTACTTCCAATAACTTTTGAGTTCTAGAAGAATGTAGATTTAGTATTGAGATAAGTGTCAGAATGGTCCCTTAAATCTTTATAGGGGACCATTTAGTCCCAGTCTATAAAAGTGTCAATTTAGTCCTCAAAATCTTTTAATGAGGGCTAAAATAGTTCTCCCTCGGGACTCTTTTAACTCGTAATAAAAGAGTATGAGGACTAATTTGACACATTTATAAACTTAAGGACTAAAATGACCACATGTAAATAGTCAGGACTATTTTGACACTTTACTTTTTTAGTATTATTTATGGGACTATTTCGGAATTCCTGTTCTCTAGATGCTTTGTATTTTTCTGTAATTATATGATTATTAATATAGTTCTTGCATTAGAAGTCATAAAAATTGAATATAATGTTGATTCTGCTATTATCTATTTAATTAAGAACCCTGTTGCCAGGCACTTATTTGATAAGTATTTGTATATCATCCTATCTTTAATGGGGGAAATTTTTCATTCTCTTTTAATGTCTGGATAATAGGTGGGATGGATAGAGTTTTTTGTGACTGTTTTCAGATGTTCGCTTATTTATTTTGTTTATTTTTTAATTATGTTCCTTTTAGAAAAGATTCATTCTAGTCTGCTGATCTTTTGTGTCAGACACCATGGACGCTTGGCTGTTCCAGGCCACCTTTCAGGCACACCATTTTGCTTCTTTTTTTTTTCTTTCAAGTTCAAAATTTCATTGACGCCTCTTAAATACCTTTTTGGTATCTTTTAGCATCATGTGAATCTCTTGAATAACTTATACTGAAACTATGCCATTCTAGTTACGAAAATCATGATATTTCGAATCTGATTTAGAAGTCTCGTAGTCCATATATGTTCTGTTTAATTGGTATCCAAGAAAGTGAAGCCATCTGGTACCTTTTCGTTATTGTTGTACTAATATACTTCTGTCATCCTTGTAAATGAACAGGTAATGCTTTTACTGCCACTTGCTAGCATCGCATTTCAAGTGGTAAAGAGGCTTGTTCAGCTTTCTCCATTATCTCACAAAGTATGTTTACCATTTTTTTCTTGTTATAATACCTTGGTCTTCTTAGTTTAAAATAAACTTTAAGCAATTTGGAATAGACCCTTTTTGAGCTGACTCAAACTTTGCCTCTTATAGGTAGGTTAGGTTAAAAAATACTAGAGTTTGGATGAGGTGTTGTTATTATCCCGTATGTAACCGGACATAATTGTACAACGAGCTTTCATTCTTGAGCTGGCAATAGTGTTGATTTCACATTGTGATGGATAAGTTGGTGTTTTTCTTTTTTCCTAAATGACATGAATGTTTATCTGTTGTGGCCCTACATGTCTGAATATTTTTACTATATATATATATGTATATATATTTAAAGCCCAAAAAGACTAATATATTAACTAGAAAGTAAGATACAAATACAATGTGATGGAGGACCCAAACATGACACCCTGCTCACAAAAAATCACAAGGGGTTCCACAACTAGAAAATACTGAAAAGTACATTAGAGACATAAAGAAAAAGCAAAAAAATGCAGAAATACATAGTATCAGATGGCTAGAGAGCAATCCAATTTGGTTTTGTCTCTGCCTCTGGTTCTAGGAAAGGAGCAAGCTAATAAGTTGGTAAGATGATTGTCATTGTCAGTAGTAACCAATGTATCATCCAATATGTTCCCGAGCTGGAGTCGGCCTCCGTTCTTCTTCCTTTTGGAATAGACCTGTCATTCCTCTTCCGAAGATTGACTCACTTGATCTTGATCTAAAGTGTGCTGGGGATGTGCAGATTGTTGGACATTAGAAGCAACTACATGTTGTATCGGCTGATCTGTTATTGGATCAAAGGAGCACTCTCGTGTGTCTTGGCATGTGAGTGAGTCTTCAATAATAATGGGTGGTATGAGCACAACTGGATCTGTAGCTGTAGTATGTTGTTCTTCTTCAGGAACTGCGGTGTTGGGAAGAGGATTAGGTTGCATCTTCTCAACAGGGATAGTAGGTGGCTGTTCTTTAGCGATATTCGACCTTAGATGAGGATGCAAACGATAGCAAATACTAGAACTGTGGTCAAATATACTACAATGAGAACAATAAGGAGGATGTGATTCAATTTCAACCTTTTGCCAATACCCGTTGTGCATATTGTCAATTCATATCTCATTCGGAACTGATTGAGTGATATCTCTCTCAACTAACACACAAGACAAGCGTGAGACTATCCACCTTGAGAGACTTACCGTAAGCAGATGCTAAAAAGTAGAGGATTTCCATGTTGAACAGATGTAATTTCAACCCTGGAAACTTTATCCAAACATGAATGATAAAGGACTTCGCTTTTGGATTAAAACCGACAGTCCACTTCAGAATTTTCATAAAACGATTGTCAATCTTGATGACTTTTCGAGAGAAAATGCGAGTGTAATCAGCATTATGAGATAGCTGAACAAGTATATGTTTACCGTCAAGTAGGTCAATGTTCCAACTGCCTGATAGTTTCATAGTATCAAACTCCTTCCTAATGATCTCCAGTTTTGGGTGACTTTTTGGGTGACCATAAAGGAATTTTCCCACTATAGAGAAACGCCAAGAGGACGCGAGAGTACCGGTTTCAACCTCTGTGAGAATAAGCTGTGGGAATAAGTGCTGTTTACCATTTTTTTTCAAGTTTTTTAATAAAAGTGTGATCACCTCCACCTTCAAGAGCCTCATGGAAAGATTCTGAGACATTGCAGGACTTACCGATAGCAAAACCAGATGCTGAATCTGGAGGAGGGGCACGAGCAGGAAAGTCGCCGGCAAGAGCATTTGCATAGGAATGGAGCGTCGAGGCCATCTCCCTCACAAGACAGGAGAGAAATGGTCTGGCGGGCAGGAAGAGCAGACAGGCGAACGGGAACCCTCTGTCGGGTAGAAAGCAAGCAGAAGGCGCGCCCTTTTGCGAACAGGAAAGCAGACAGGAACCATAGCTCGAAATCGAAAAGGGAAACAACGCCGAAGCCCTTCGTCGAAGACGATGAACTCCTTCGTCGTCGTCATCGAGTGCGGGAAGTACGAACCGCAGTTTGAAACCAGAACGAAAAGGGACAGCGCCGAAACCCTTCGTCTAAGACGACGAAACGCAAAGACTTGTCGCCGTCGTCGAGTGCGGGAAGTTCGTCGTCGAGCACCAGAGAAAATATTTACGAACGAGGGAATCAAACCCTGACAGAGCAGATGGCGACCGACATTTTTTGTATTCCAACATATTTGTTAAAAAACAACGATGGTCATGTTTTCGGCTCTGCTAGGGTTTGCTACTCGATGGCGACACGGGTAATCGGAAGGCATGGCTCGATCGTACGCTGGCGTGATTGCCGGCGGCGTTGGTGACGCAGGTAAAAGGTTTCGTTCTTATGCTAGCGTGACCTCAGATGGCATTCCAAACTTCCCTTTTGTCTACTACGACTCACTCGCACTCAACTCTGATACTTCGTTCGACGTCTTGGCCGGAAATGGGGTAAGCTGGCCCTCTTCCTCTCTGATGACAAGAACGGCGAACTCGCCTCTTCCTGCCGCCTTCATCTTGTAGGAAAATTCTTGTATGGGTATCCTAAAATGGAGTTATTTCGAAAGCATTTTGAACTGATTTAGCTCATCGGAGATTGGAAGATCGGACCTTTGGATGGAAAACACATTTTAATTCAGTTGTGAAAATGAGGAGGATTATACGCCTCTGTTTGCTAGGCGTATGGTGTGGTTTGAGGATTGTGGAATGAAAGTCTTGAAATGGTCAGCTAATTTTGATCCCAAAGCTGAGGCTCCAATTATCCCTGTTTGGCTTTGGTTCCCAGGTTTGAAAGTTCATCTTTTCAACCATGAAATTCTGTTCTCCTTGGCTGCTATGTTTGGGAGACCCTTGAAATTAGATGCTCCTACCTATAATCTCATGAGACCGGCTATGGCTAGAGTTTTAATCGAACGAGATGTTATTTTACCCCCACCTGATGAGGTTTGGATTAGATCGGCTCACAATGGATACTTGCAGCAGGTTTTAGTAGAACAACACCCCTCTTATTGTACTCAGTGTCGAATGTTTGGCCACGGTCATGACCAATGTTTCAAGCTACATCCTGAATTGAGGAAAGGGGGAAGCTTGAAACAGTCACACATAGAGCAGGCGCCTTTGCTCCCTGTGGAGAACGCTGAGGTTTCTCCGACAGATGTTATGGTTGCCGTCTCTCTCCCAACTGTTACCCCTTCGGTCCAGACCGAGGGACAACAGGTTGTGCGTGTTGTGCAAGTCATACCTGCTCCCCCGTTTACTACTTCGAATGATGAGAGGGCTCGACTCTCATCAACCTCTCTCCCTGATGCTTTGAATACTGATAATAATCAATATCCTATTACCTCTAATGCTATTTACCCGGTTGGGAGAACTGAGCAGTTGTTACCTGTTCCGGATCCTCCTATCACTTCTATTTCTGAGGAAGCTCATCCTTCAGCCTCTCTTCCTGACGCTTTGAATGCTGATAATAATTCTCTATATTCTCGTCATTCTGATGCCCTCTCTGATACTTCTTTGGAGGATATATCTAAAATTTTAAGGGATGAATGACATGTTCAAAAGTATCGTCGGAGGAATCATAGAGGGCAAGAGGAAGCGCAAAAACACAATAGTGGGAATACCTTGTTGGATATGAATCACTATTTTTCAGATGGAGAAAATGGACGGACCCGAACTAGATCGTCTAGGAAGGGTCGTATTTCTACTCATGTTTAATGTCCTAATTTGGAATATCAGGCGAGTTGCGGATTCTCACTTCCTTGGTAGACTCAAGTCAATGATAAGGATTCATAAGGTCGGTATCTTTGCAATTTTGAAACCCTTGGTCTCCTCTATGGATGATCGCATTTTGGGTAAATTTTAAAACTTTTCTTTCTTTGCTAAGTTCTCTAACAAGATTTGGTTGTTTTGGCAGAAGCATATCATAGTCAATGTCCTTATTGATGATAGACAGTTTATGCACACTTTCTTTTCTATGGATGTTTTCTCTGGATGTCTGACTTCTGTTTACGCCAGGACTACTAATGCTGCTAGATATGATCTTTGACACAAACTTTCTGATATGGGTGTCTTAATCCATCAGAATGGATGGTTGGAGGAGGTGATGCATGAATCTGAAAAATTGGGTGGTCGGAGAATCGACACCTCTTTAACTGATAAATTCACTGAAGCTTTGGATTTGACTAGCATTTCTGATTTGGGCTTTGTTGGTTCCAAGTTTACTTGGAAAAGGGGAAAGCTTTTTGAACGCCTAGATATGTGTTTTGCTAATCAGTTGTGGATTGCTTCTCATGGTTTTTTGTAAGTTCAGCATTTTTGCAGACCTGGGTCTGATCACAGCCCCCTTCTTTTGTCCTTTGATTTTTTCAAAAAGGTTTCCACCTATCACTTTCGTTATCTAAACGTCTGGGCTAGACATGATGATTTTTTGTGGGTCATTGCTACCAATTGGAGATGTGAGGAAGTGGGCAATGCATGGTTCACTCTTTGGAAGCTGCATAAAAAAGGTGGCTTCTGCTCTAAAATCTTGGAACTGGGATATATTTGGTGATGTTCATGCTAGAGTTAAGAGGGCTGAGCAGAGGGTCAGTCTCCTACAGGCTCTTGATGAATCTTCTGATGATATTATCCATGACTTACAGGAGGCTAATAAAAAATTATTGGAGGCCTCCCTTTGGGAGGAGGAATTGCTACAAGGAAAAGCTGGGGAAACCCACTTCTCTCAAGGTGATCGAAACACCAAATACTTCCTTGCTTGCATTAAACAAAGACGAGCCAATAATACTATTGTGAGGATTAAAAATGATGAGGGGAGTTGGATTACTGGGGATGAGGAGATTGGGGAGAGCGTTGTTCTTTATTTCTCTAAACTTTTTGAGTTTCATGAGACCTCAGGCTCTATTGATGCTTCTTTATTTTATGATGTACGTCATCACATGGTGGATCTCGATCTCTGTGGTATTTCTTCGGATGAGAAAATTTATTCTACTCTTCTGGACATTAATTGCAACAAGGCTCTTGGGCCTGATGGTTTCACATTTGCTTTCTATATTAAATGCTGGAGTATTGTTAAGGATAAGGTGGTGGACACTATACAGAGTTTCTTTGAGGGGGAGACCCCTGAAAATTATTTATCTGCCGCTACTATTGTTCTTATTCCCAAAAACACTCAAAAAAGCTCTTGGGACCATTTTAGACCTATTTCTCTGACTTCTGTCATATCTAAGACATATCTAAGATGATGATTAGTAAAATTTTGGTCAGGCGTATTTAACCTCATCTTCACAAATTAATTTCCTTAAATCAATCCGCCTTTATTCAAGGGCGAGGGATCACGAATAATATTATGTTTGCGCAGGAACTCATTTTGAATATTGATAAAAAATGTAGAGGGGGAAACATTGTCACTAAATTGGATATTCACGAGGCTTATGATTCTGTTAGTTGAGAATTTATCTTGAAGGTGCTTAAAACTAGGGGGTTTTCCTAGGATATTTGCAAAATTATTCTCTCTTGGCTCAATAAATACAACATACTCATCAATGGTCAATCTCGCTCATCAATGGTCAATCTCTGGTCAATCTCGGGGCTTCTTTAGTGCGGGACGTGGGATAAAGCAGGGTAACCCCTTATCCCCTACTATTTTCATTTGAATATTTGATTATCTTTCTCGCTTTTTAAATAACCTTTTCAGGAGAAGCCCCACTTTGAAATACGCTCATAAATCTAATATGTTGGTAACACATTTAGCATATGCCGATAATATAATATTGTTCTCTAATGCTAGCAAAAAAGCGGTGAGGGATATTCACAGTTTAATGACAAAATTCCAATATGTTTCTGGTCTCCTTTTTAATGCCAATAAATGCAACTTCTACATGGGAAATATGGTCAATCCTTCTAATGCATGCTGGATTGCCAATTTTACTGGATTCTCTATTTCTACCCTTCCACTTAAATATCTGAGGGTTTTCTTACTTAAAAGGAAGGAAGGGACTAATTCAGTTTGATGAGGTGGTGGAAAGGGTGCAGAAGAAAATGTCCAATTAGGAAAAATAATTTCCTTTCTTTTGGGGGCAGAATTACGTTGCTCAGGAGTATCTTACATTCTCTTCCTTTATATACTCTTCAATTTTTTCAACTCAAGAGAAACACTCTTTTGAGCCTCGAAAGATGTTTTAATAAGTTTTTATGGGTTGAGAATCATTCAGGTTGAAGATGGATGCCTTGGAAGAATATTTGCAAGCCCCTTTATGCTGGTGGTTTGGGTTTCAAAACTTTGCACTATATTGCTGTTATTAATGTTTTTAAACAATGGTTTAATTTTCGGAAAGGTGATTCCTTCTGGGTCATTTTCATGCATGGGAAATATTGTCACTCCTCTCATCCGGCATTAATCAATTGGTGGTTGGGGGATTTCACTATGTGGAAGAGATTGCTTCATATTAGAGATTGGGCAAAAGATTTCATTTACTGGAAGGTGGGGAGTGGAAACATTTCCTTTTGGCATGACTGGCATGACTGTT